TCTTGTGGGACTTATAAAGAACTTGAATAGGAGAAACATGGAGGGTCTCAAAATTTTACTGGCATCACAGACAAATCAGCCTTTAAATTCTAAGAAATTTTGGACTGGTGAGAGACCTCAGCAGACTAAGCGCCTCTTTAGGGAAGCACAGGGACCAGGGTTTGATCCTGGGCACCATATGCTGCAGCGGCCCTGCCCTTGGGTGCACTGAGCCAGCCACCAAAACCAGGTGTGGTGGTGCATGCCTGCTTTCCCAGCACTGAAGAGGCTGAAAACAGGAGCATCATCACAAGTCCAAAGTACTTAGTGAGACACTGTATCAAATACATATTTTTTTAAATCTAGAAATTTTTGCAGCTGGGGTACAGCTCAGTGTAGAGCAGGCTTAGGCCTCAGTAGCTCTTGGGCTTAATCTGTTCAATCCTATACTCTCTTCACCCTCCAAAAGAGTTCTTTATTATACAGTTTTCAAGGTGAAGTAGCACTGATGACTATGAGCTAGGACTGAGAATGGGTAATCAGGAAAATATTTGAGGAGAATAAGTAATACAAGAAATAACTTTGAAAATAGAAAAGCAAACAGGCTAAGGAAATTCAACACAGTTGCTAAGCAACAATAGCACCCCTTGAAGTTCACAAGAAGTAATTTACAGAAAGACCAGTTGGCATCCTTGTGTAGCATATTCCATGTGTAGATAAGGAATAGGTGGACAATAGATTTGAGCAAAGGAATGACTTAACAAGCAAAAACTAAGATAGGTGAAGGGACCAAGGTGGAAGAAGTTGTACCCAAGAGGGCTGGGAAGATAGCTCTTGTAGAATAAGAGTATGCCTGGCAAGCACAGGGCCCTGAGTTCAATCCCCAATCTTGGAAAAAAAAAGCCATGGCACCCAAGAGAATGATTATAATGCTACACTGTGGATGTCAATAACTGCCTAAGCAGAGCAGGGAAGATATTAGTGTACAACAGTTAGTGCAAAATAGAAAAATATATAGACTGCCAGACCCGTGGGTCAAAGGATGTCATGTGGTGTGTATGCGACAGAGTGTATAGAATTGAGAGATGAATTGCTTGCCATGAAGAGAATGCTGTCTATAGGACAACCCCAAAACTGATTGGCTAGACTAAGGTTAAGGGCAAATTCACAGGGAAGAGAGTTCAAAGACATAAAAGGGCAGGATGCTGAAAGGATCACATATGGACACATGTATTAAAAGTTCTAGCAATCAAGGCAGGAGTACAAAGAATTGATGCTAACGTGATCAGGTGCAGAGGCAGTTCACAAACCAGACTAAGGTAGTCCATGAAGGAACAATGAACCCATGAGTGCCATGGGATGGATAATCTGATGCTCAGAGATTCAAGTAGAGGGAGATAGTGATCAGATGACCCAAAAAGGCAGCGAGGAGCAGAGAATCCATCTTCCACCCAGTGACAGCTGTGCAGAGGAGCAGAGCCACCAATGGAGAGGCCCAAAGCAGCTGGCATGTGCTCAGAAGAGAGCCTCATTTTAATTTAGAGAAGATGATGAAGGAAAAATTCTGAGAGCATGTTGGATTTGTTCGGTGTGGACTGGAGTGGCAAAGGGCATACATTATATCACAAGACAGTGTCTGTCATAATTTCCTGGTTTCTGTAGTATCATGGAGGAAGGTTTGTGTGGTGCATGCCATATTCATCTAATAAATGAAGACAACATGGTGGAGACTGGTGTGGAGTATTTGGTCCGCATGTCCAAAAATAAAACAAGAAATGCTAGAGGTAAATCTGGTGGGCAGTGATCCCTCTAGAAATAATTAATATGGATGATGGGATTTGTTTGATCTATATTTTATACCTTGCTCTAGTGCCCTTCTCTGTGTTCGGTACAGTTATTAAAATGTGAATACTGGGGCTGAGGGGATAGCTCGGTGGTCTAAGTGCCTGGCTGGCAAATGCAAAGACCCGAGTTCAATCCCTGGTACTACATGTGTGCTATGCTGGCCCCACAAATGGGCATGGTGGTGCACACCTGTAATCCCAGCGCTGGAAAGGCTGAGACAAGAGGATCACTATGAGTCTGAACTGCATAGCAAAACCCTGTATCAAATAAATCAATTAATTAAAAAGTAAAAATAAAATGTGAATGTACTGAGCTCTATCAATGGGCTCCGCATTGGTGGACTCAACCAACAATAGACATAAAATATTCGAAAAAAATGTATCCGTATTGAACATATTCGGACTTTTTTCTCATTATTCACTATGCCATACTATATATTACACCTTTATACAAGATTTACATTGTACTTATTTAAATTTTTTTAGGCATTTACCTGAAAATAATAGGAAAGAAAAGATAACAGGTAGAGATAATGGGATTAGGCATAGTACTATTATTCAGAGGTAAGTAAGACTGAAGTGGGGTTATGGCTGTGTAGTTCATCATACTGTTCTCTCTCTCTTTGTATGTATTTAGAATTTTCCATTATAAAGTTTTAAAAGATAACATCAGGCAGTAAAATAGATGCTAGCTAGTTTTTCAAACCAATCCCATGAATTATTCTTGGTACTAAATTTTAGGAATGTAGCTGTAAAAGTATTCAGGGGCCCAGCCTTCATATTGATTATGGCTGAAAGGAAAGACAATCAGCAATCTAAAAGAAGCCACTTTGAGCTTAGATTTTTATCTTTAAAACAATAAAAAGTCATTTATATGTTTTAACCAGAGAAAGATATCATCTGATTTCTCCATAGTATTACATATAACACAACGAAGTGGTTGAAAAGGACGAACACGAAGGAATCTGCAGTCTCTACAGTCATTACGTTTATGTTGGTGGACGTTTGTGAAACAGAGAGACAGAAGAGGGATAACCCGTGAGCAACTGAAAAGAAGAGTTGGGTGAAGCCAACCGTGCTGGGGCATGTGGTCTCAAAGCTCAGACAAACCAGGGATTAAGGCAAGAAGTTATTTGTTGCCTAAACTACCTAAGCCATAAAGTTTGCCATCTCTTTTCTCAGAAACAAGACATCCTTGTGGCTGTTAGGAGCAGTGTCTCCATTTCTGTTTTGTGGTGCCCAAGAGTTGGGTCGTACTTATCTCTCTGTATATCTCTTTATATAGTATATGGTGACGCATGTCTGATTTGATGAAATAAGGTGAGAAATAATTACAAATTCTTGTTTTGGAAACTGCTATTCAAAGTGCATGTAATTTTCATTCTGTTCAAAATGCCTAGTTTTTGCAAGTCTCAGCTCAAACATGAGCTTCTCCTTGAGCATCCTCATTGTGTATCTGTGCTTTCTTGTATCTTCTTTTTTTTTTTTTTTCTTTTTTTTTTTTTTTTTTTTTTTTTTTTTGGTGGAACCAGGGATTGAACTCAGGCCCTTGTGCTTGCCAGGGAAGCGCTTACTCCACTGAGCCATCTCCCCAGCCCCAGCAGAGACTATTATCACTTGGGAATCATTTCTTTCTTTCTTTTTTTTTTTTTTTTTTTGGCGGAAGCAGGGATTGAACTCCTTGCGTTTGCCGGTAAAGCGCTTATCCTACTGAACCATCTCCTCGGCCCTCTTGTATCTTCTAAACTCATAATCCAGACCTCAGTTTTGTATGTAGGTGTCACTTCAATGTGACTTTATACACATTATAGTGAGCTTCACATCTTTTTTCCCAGTTAAGTTTCTTAATTAAAACTGTAAGAGCAAAATGTATGTTATTGCATTTATCTTCCCTAAGTACAGCACTTTATTTTAATGCCAATAAACATTGAATTAAAATGATTTCTGATCCCTTTAGATTTGTATTTCTCCAAAGTATAGATGGGTAGCAAAACTTTCTGTGGAAGAAAATGATTTTAACTTAACAAATTTAAGTTAACAAATGCTCATCGAGGTTATGAACATGGGATAGCCTTAGGAGATCAAATGACAGGGCAAGTTTATGAGTGCATAAAATTCTTTATTTAGAACAATAAAGTATATGTTTATATAATGTAATTTCAAATTCAAACCTGTATAAAAAGGGTCAGGACATATACCTATTTTAAAAAGTACACATACAGTATATACACATACACATCACATTTTACAACTTTTTTATTTAAACTTCAGTCATAATAAAACTATTTAGAATAGTGTTGACATACATTTACATTACAATATGCAAACTTGTATCTATGACTGAACTAGCGATATATTTGTGCATCCATCTAAATGTCTGAATACTTTTCAAGTCCATTGATTTAAAAAACAGTGACAAGTGGACACATTAATCACACATTAATGCTCAGAATACAGGAGAAAGGGCGATTTTGTTTGGAAATTAGAGTCTTGCATCTCATAAGTCAATTGACGAAAATACCACAGGTTTTAGTTTAAAAAATTACCACCTTATATTTTCAAGAACATTATAAGAATGTACTTGGAAGATGATAGCTATACATTGCAATGTTCAGCAAACATTTTAGGGTCCTCAATATACATTTTGATAGGAATTATTTTTAAAACAACAGGTTGTTAGGAAGTGAAAGTACCATTATTTTATCTGTATATCTGTACAAAGGCATTTTGAAAAATGAGCTAATATCTCAGAAGGCAGCAACACCATAAATTGGATGATTGAATTTAAACCTGAATGATTATATTTTAGAGTCAAATTTGAAATAATATCCATTCAAACATAAACTGGTTTCCTTTAACATTCTTGTACCACTTTCCAATTTTAAAATTTATTTTATGTATTACTCTTTTATGAATTGGTTCTAAAATATCTTTTGGCTTTGAAAAACTATGAACATCTTGTATCTGCTGCTCTTAGCTTTCAATAAAATGAGCATATTCAGACGTTCAATTTGGTGCATTTTGAAATATTCCATAAGTCTTAAAGTGTACCTTCCCAACTAAAACACACTCTTAATTTTCTTTCTTCAAAGGTGATCCAAAATGTTTATTTAAACAAAAGCCATCTCCTGTGCAGATGGTTATCTAATCTGCCCAACTTGCAACTGAATTTCGCATTTACTAATGGACTCTATTTACATTAGAAACAAAAACAAAAATTTTCATGGTCAAAATGCTTATTCACAGAGAATGGGGTTGGATATTTTGTCTTGGACAATTTCTACTATACTGCATTTTTAGAAACATTGCCAGTCACATAGCAGAAAAGGCTCACCCCAAGAAGCGACCCCCAAATTCGTCACAAGGATAAATAAAAAGCAAGACTCTAAGAGGAGAGGTGATTTACCACCATACTCAATAGCAGAGTAGAGCTTGTGACAATTTTCTGACACCCATTCTTGCTATGCCGAGCTGTTTTTTTGAAAATTCTGTTTCTTAAAGAACAGACCTGGAACGGCTAAATGTCCCCTACGAGGGTCAAATGCTGACACCTGAACCTAGCTGTAGGCACACTTTGGAAAATAGCCATGATTTCCAAATGAATTTGTTTTCTGTTCATGTATAATTTCAATTGAGCGAAACTGCTAAAATGTACAAAAAAGTTTCTCCAATTAAAATGTGTTTTATTCTTATTAAAAGCAAATACTTCATCATGAACACATGCTTTCTCATATTTTCATTTTTCACATATGCAATCCTTTATTAAGTGGATAGGTTAGTCTAGAATTGTATTAAAAAATCAATTTGCCTCTGAGTCATTAAAAATGGCAGTGTGGTGAGCACATTACACTATCATTTGTTGTCCAGGAATATTTAGTATTACTGGGCAGGCCCAACTTATCACAGAGCCAGTTTTGTTATAGACTTGGTCTTGACCAAAGAGGTACAAAGCTCTCAGTATAATTTACAATCTACAAACTTTGAAGCCATTCTAATTACAAGGCAATTTTAAAACATTGCAAAAGAGAACTGTCAGATACATGGCACCAATTTTAAAGGCTATTTCGTGGTTTATCATCTCAGTTGTGAGTTCTCCATAACTTATGGAAAAGAATTTTCAGAACATATGGGATCAAACAGGCAAAGATATATGCATATTTTCTTCTCCAAAGCAGATGACACAGTTAAATGTCCAAGCAGCCAGCATCCAAAATAATGTTCAGCACTTCTCTAATATTCATGCATTTTATTGAATTGTAGTGTTTTAAAATTGCCAATCCATGTAACTTGCAATGAACCAATATATTTAATAGGCAGGACACAACCCTCGTTCCCTACCATGACAGATTTCCTAACCTGCTAAATTGGTTTACTTAATTCTATTAAGACCATTTTTCTTGATGTTAAACCCACACTACTAGCTTTAAGAACAAAAGTGTATTTCTTGTATTCTCAAGCTCTGAGGACAGCATTTCCATATACCCAAACAAACTGAAATCACTGGATAAATAAACCAAACCACTAGCCTGAGACTATCAATCTTGTCAATCTATACACCACCTACACATGTAAGTCAAGTTAACCTATGCCTATTTTCCTCAAAACAATACCACACATCAATAAGTCCTTTCAGCAATTAAACCGATCCTTAATTTTATCACTAACCAGTTGTACCATGGGATGTCTGAGGGCCTGAAAAGTTAACACAGCTTCCCAGTGGACTTGTGTTGACTCTTAGAGTAATAACCCACACTAGAGGAAGCACAGCACTTTGAAGAAGAAGAAAACCATAGAAATCATCTGAGCTCTTTGGCATAAAAAAGAGCAAAGAGCAAAGGCCACACAATAAATTGTATCTGGATTAGTGCTGAATATAAGCTAAAATCCAACTATATGAGAAATTCTTGATATTTAAAATCAAAGAGAAGCTAGCGTTTAGATTTTCCATGCCCCTTTGTTGAACAATATTAAAAATGGTGCTCTTATGTTTATAACCCATGGCAATGACGTTATTACAAAGATTAAGTTTGATGGAGAGGCTTTAGATTCTTTTAGGTATTTGTTCACATGTTAAAAGAATTTTCATCACAATAAAATATAGAAAAATTGCTATTTGACTTTATTAAGGTATCCTTTTCACTATTAAAAAATTGACAAGGGGAATTAACATAATGGCCTAAAAATTTTACTTTAAAAGCACAACGTCCATCTTGGGAATTCTGGTCAAATTCATTCTTAACATGACGAATGCTGTCAAGTATTTTAATTAGCAAACTGACATGCATAATTATATAAAGCTTTCTTTTCATTTTTATTTCATAAACCCTAATGGATATAGGGTGCCTGATTTTAAATAAATTGTTCCTTTAAACAGATAATGGTGATTATACTATAAATAACTAAAGTTTCCTGATTCCTTGCATTATTGTAAAAGACAAGTAAGCTAGTTTTCAACACCCATATTAGCATGGGGGTGTGATTTTCTAACCTTACATACTAAGTATCATAATTTACTTTTACTCTCTCCCATGGTAGAAATTGAAAATGGGACCATCATACATTCAGCATTTTCCCCACATCCACTTACATAACTCTGTAATAGTTTTAGAGTATAAACATGTCATAATATAATTTGCAAACACAATTTATACACTCTAGAGTAGCCAAGGCCAAAGGCTGACACTGCTGGGGATGCCAAAGGTCCTCCTAGGCACGTTCTGCCGGTCAGGCTTCACGGCTTCTTCCTGCGATGACTCCTTGGGAAAGGCTTTCCTAAGCCCAGGCAGCGCTGTGCTAATTCAGGACTGACTCCCCCACACAGAGAGCACCAGCCAACCATATCCATTTCTCTAGTGGGATGTGCATGTGCCTGGTCTATGTCAGGGAGAGATCAAAGTCAGACACCTCTCATCAACCAGCAACTACCAGGCTGACATGCCTGCTGCCCTTCCAACTGCTTTCCACACTGGACAGTGGCTGACGCTACTGAGTTTTTGTTTTTTCATGTTGTTTTCTAGATCCCTTTGAGAAAAAGTCATTCCCTCCACTAACCAGGCTGAAACTTACTTTCAGAGACTGGGATAACTATATAACTACAGACTGAAGATTGTAACTGAAGAGTAAAGCTGTGTGCTTGCTCAGCACTTAGACCAACTCTGGAACCAAGCGAATGGTGCGTGCGAACTGGGACACATGCCTTCTCTGCCATCATCACTTGCAAGTTCTGAATGAGACCACAAGACCCTCTGGTCCTTAAAATAGAGTCCTGCTCCATACAAGCTCTTCTTTATAGATGATTGATTCAGTGCCAGTTTCACAGTAAAACACTCTGTTCCAAGTTCTGAGTCATCCATAGAAAGTCACGGGTAGCAAGAACGGATAAACATGAAGTCTGTCACTTCAGACAGAATAGGAGTTGGTTTAAAGCTGCTTCATTTATGAAGCATACATGAACTGTTACCAGCCTAGAGAAAAAGGAACAAAAAAGACAGGTTACAGTGTGTTTTCTCTCTCCCTCCTTATTGTTTTCTATAGCTGAATACTTGTCTAAGCCCCTAGACTGAGTAATAGACTTATACTGCATTTTGAACTGGGATTAAAGGACCTGGGCACATTATTTTCTTAGTTGATCATCCCTGGGAACTCTTGACTTAATCTGCAATGATCTTATTACCTGCTGTCCATGTCTTCCAGCTGAAAGGCAAACTCCATAAAGGTGAGGGAGTTTGTCATCTTTTATAATGCTGACCTCCACTCTTGAAACAGTGCTTGTATTCCAGTATGTATTCAGTAATATTTTTAAAAATTGATAAACAAATACCTTGTGGTTTTCATACTCCAACATACAACCAGTTATCTCAGTTTGTGATAAGGGGGTTATCAAGCTATTTAACCTTGATTTTCTCTAGCAAGGGTTTAAAAGTAGTAGGCATATCCTGAGGGGAGGTTAGAAGGTCAGGAGAGTATCTGGAGAGTGGAGAATGGACAAGTGGACACAGATAGAGCCCTTGTCATAGGCAGAGAAGTTGTCAAAAGGTGACAAACCAGGAGCAGCCTCATAGCTGGTGAGCGGCTCTAATTCTGCAGCCGTCTAGCTGGTTGCTGGCAACCACTGCTCCCTACCAAGAAAAGAGCCACAGCAAGATCTCATTCAATATTTCCACTCAAAAGAAAAACTCAAGTGCTAGCGCACATTCTGACAAAGCCCCCAGGGGGTTTCCTTTGGCCTTAGTGCAGTAAGTTGTACTTGGGAAAGAAAGAAAGCCTTGCTTAGTTTTAGTTCTTCAGTGTTGCATTTAAACCAGGGAGTCTACATCAGAGCTTTCAACTTCGCAGTAAAATATTTGCACTTCCCTATCTTTTTCTAAAATTATAGATAATATCTTGCTTTATCCTGCCAGGATGTCCTGAAATAAATGTATATTGTGCATTCCTCTTCCTTCCTCTTCACTTTACTACCTTCCTTTCCTTCTTGTTTATCAATCTGAGAATCATAAATCACTGTTTCCAAAATATTGGAAACATTTGGCAGGATATTTATAAAGTCTAGTAGCATGAGGAGTAAGAATAGTAGAACAAATAGTAAGAAATACAGTACTTATCTTAGGCTCTTTAAATGTCATACATTAGAATCTATAGGACACAAAAATTGATCAAACAGAAAACTCTAGAAACTAGGATCTCTTTATTTAGAAAAGCAGAATTAAATCCAGAAAGAAAAATTTAAAAAAAAATTAAGAAAAAAACCTCAGAAATTAAAATGTATGGAAGATATTTTAAAATAGATCACAACTAAAAGGCAAAAAGCAATAACGAAAAGCAAAAGGTTATTTTTAAAAAGGTAGGAATAATTTGAAATTCTAGACTTAATTAAATGTAGAGGAGCAAGATTGAAAATCTATTTTTGTGTTTGTCCCTGGGTCACTTAGCAAACAAAATAAACTTGAAGGCTCACCACTGATTTTCCCATAGAACAAAACTACAATTTTTATAATGATACCCTGAATTTTTACAGCAGCTCCATGAAATGAGCAGGACAAGTATTATTATGGCCTCATTATATGGTGATGTGTTGCTTAATGATGGGGATCCCATCTGAGAAAGGAGCTGCTAGGCTCCTTGTCGCCATGCAAACATCGTGGAGTGTACTCATACAAACCTCATGGAGTGCCTGCTACACATGTAGGTGACACAATGTCATGCCTCAAAAACTATATCCCAGTATATTCTTTCTCTGATCTCGTAGAATGGCTATCCTATGTTATGTGTGTGATATATCTTTAACCAAAACATTGTTATATAGTACCTGACTGTGTACAAAATCTATGGGTCAGAAGACATTAACTGACTCAGCCCAGATCCTATAAACATTAACATTGCACAGCCAAGGCTTAAACCCATGCCTAATCCTTGGTAATCTTCTGTTTCATGGTATGGCTACAGAAAGAAAGCACAGGAAAAGAACTCCCAAAGCTCCAGAGAGTTTTAGAAAATATCTGATAAAGACTCAGAGATCTTGGCAATTGGGGAGCCCTGTACCTACAGTTTCCCAACATGGTTTGAGCTTGTTCCAATTCTAAGATCTATTTTCTTCTGAGCAGAACTACAGGAAAGTTCTACCCTGTGTTCCTTTTATCAATTGCTCCACATGCCTAACTAACTTCAAAAGAACTGCTTTCAACATTTACCATTATGAGTTAGTCAAGAAACTACTGAGTACACCCTCTTACTATTTGTTATTTACTGCCGGCCATACTGCTTTTTTTTTTTTTTTTTTATAACCAAGCAGTCTCTCTTGTAGGGTCTTGAGTAAGAATCTTTGTAGATGGTACCCCAATTCCAAACCCATAGTCTACAACCCCAACTGTTTTCTGTAGTTTCACTGTGACATACTGGTTGTTAGTTTCAGCAATGTTTACCAATAGCTCCTCTTCACTTCCTATTTTTTTAAGTAGTACTGCCATCTGCTAAGTCCCATAAGCCTTAAAACATCCTTGAGTCATGTCAAGCTCCCCATCCCATCAAGAACAGTAGTGTCTTCTTTTATACCAATGTCTCCAAAATGGTCCCTAATTTCCCATGGTTCCGACCTCACTTCAGGTAGCCACTTTCTCACACCTTACTGGAAGACAGGCCTCCCAGACAGATACCCTTCCTCCAGTTCAATACGCCCATCCTCTGACCACACTAACAGCTGGCTACTTCTCCTGAACCACTGCTTTGATAGTATCATCCATTTCTTTTCAAATCAGTAATGGTTCTTTATGATCTAGGGGGTTGTTAGTATCTGAACTGAGCTTTGAAAGGGATTTTCAGAGGTAATGAATAAAGTTCTCCATGACAGGAATCAGTCATTGACCTCATTCATTTTATCACCTACTTGACACTAACTCAATAAATGTTCCTTCAGAACATGTTCTTTCAGAACAATCGGCTTCTTTCATCTGTCTAATTGGATTCATCTTATACATGAGTAGCATTTTCATACCTTTAAAAAAATTAGATAAATGCAAGTTAGATTCCCTGTATGACTTTCCATAATTTTCCTTGCTGTGTGCACCTTGTTGCCCCACTGTCCACAACTAGCACACTAACCACACGAAAACACATAGACACAAGACAAAGATGAGCCATTTATCTTCAGCTTCAGAAGAGCCATTTATCTCCTTCACCACTGAGCTCAGCTTTCACTCAGGCCTCATTCATTCACTCAGCCTCACATTCAATGGACACCCAGCAAATGGCCTACAAGGTACATGCACCAGGTAAGGTGCTGGGCACACAGGGTGAGGCAGACAGACCTTGCTTCCGTCCTTGCCGATTACCTGACTACTAGAGATAGATAGAAGTTGTTTGACTGTGGTTGCTTAAAAATGCCATTTTTTTCCTTCTCTTAAACAAGTGAATGGGGTTTCCCATCACAATCCACTCTCCAAATGCCCTAGAATAAACACAATTGAAGTCACACGACTAAAGATTCCTGTGCCAGAGCAGGATCTCAGCAATGCAAGTTGAAACCAAACAACACAGGACATTGCTTGAGCTTTCAAGAGTTAACTGCTTAGGGGTCTGGGGAGATAGCTCAGTGGTCTAAGCACCTGCCTGGAAAGTGTAAGGCTCTGGGTTCGATCATGCCAAGCCAGTCACCAAAACTGGGCATGGTGGTACATGCTTGTCATCCCAGCACTGGGGAAGCTGAGACAGGAGGATCACTATGAATTTGACCTGCATAGTGAGACCCTGTACCAAATAAATAAAAAAAAAAATTAAAAAAAAAAAAAAGAATTAACCACTAAGTGTGTGCTTTGTGGGCTTCTAATGGAAAGAAACCAAAATAGTAGTGGGATTTGTATTGAGGTTAAATGGTAGAGAAAAGGATTTTTAATAAAATTAATTACTCAAACCCTCCAGAAAAGAAGTGTTGAGTGAAGAACAGAAAACTGAATTTAGAGAAAAGGTAGGAGAGGACCAGTTAAGACAAAGCACCGCTCATGCCTTGCAGACGGCGATTAAGTGTATGACTAACTATAAAAATAAGGGAGCATGTGGAGTAACCGGATTAAAGTGCTAGACATGTCCTTTGTAATTACTGTATCATGTTATGTCAGGTTTTTGAAAATGATCATTTCAATGATAAAAGTTAGCTCCTAGAGGAAGCCAAAGACTGTGACCCAGTTTCCCCAAGAAAGATTCAGTGTGGAGATAAATTTCTGAATCTGGGACAGAAGGGAAATCTGGACGGTCAGTGACCAGCAAGGACAGTCCAGCTCAGCTGGCCCCACAATGACAACCCACAGGGGGCGTGGTCCTCTCGCAGGGGAGCATGGGGAAGAATTTTCTGGCACCTCGGTGGTAAAGTGTATGCAGGGGGCATGGAGCACTAATAAAAGCAGCGACAGTGGGGGACAGCAGTGGCCCGTACTGGTCAGGCTAACGCAGTGCTGCAGATGCACCCCTCCAAGTGAGTCTGCGGCAGCCTAGAATCAGGAAAAGGAGAGCAGACAGGAGAGAGTGAGCATCAACCTCTGGCCGCGCTACTCTCCCTTCAGGAAGCGTCCCCTCCCTCAAGCCCCACAACCAGCAGCTTTTGGTCACCGGTTGAATTCAGGGCATCTTCGTTTCTGGGCTGTGACAAGCTGTGCCTATTACTAGTCACATGGCAGGCGAATCTTTGCTTTGACAGCTTTACTCTTTTAATTATAAGATATTTTGATCTTTTCTTCTTTATCTTAAATTGGCAGGGAAACATTTGGGGTTTTTCCTTTCTTTTTTCTTCCTAACGAATGGGATATCATCCATGTGTAGTGGTCACATCTGAGTAGAATTTGTTTTATTCCTTTTCGTTCATGTTTTATTTTAATACTAATCCGCTGTATTTCCTTGCTCTAATTTATTTTCGCCTCTTGAAAAATACTCCAAATAAGCCATCTATTGTTAACTTTGTGCATGCTTCTCCTGCAAGGTGAATCCACTTATCAGGGATAACACTGTCTACCTTTCATCGCTTGAGAACCCACAGCGAGGGAAACACGCAGAACGCAATTACACAGCTACTTTGCCCAACACATTGACATCTGCTTGATAGAGGCCGAAACCGCAAAGTTTGTTTCTAAATTTTGGTCTCTAAGATCTCATGTGGTTCTTGGTAAACACGTCAGTTTGAATTCTAAAACCTTACCACTGCATGAAGGTAACAGTGTTGAAACAAGCCACAATTACACTTCTTGAAACTCTCTCTCTTTTTCTTGCAGCATACTGAAAAAACAACAAGAAAAATGGTTAGAGCGCTTGCCTTTAGACAGAGTTTCCAAAGTACAGCATGATTTAGGCATTGTTAGAGAATTTTCTTTACTGAAAAATACAGTATTAAAAGGTTGAGAATTGGGGGAAGACTTGACCTCCATAAACATCACTGTAAAGCAGGGTATTTAACATGATCTTCGTAAGTAGTGAAAAAAAAAAAACTCTCTCTGCATATGTATGTACACACGTAATGTTTATATATATTTAATATTTATATATTAAAAAATACACACAGGCATGATATGAGAGAAAGAAACATTGAAAATTATAAGCAGAGACACATGTACCCTCAGAGAAGTAGGTGAAGGTACTCTACAGGCAAATGGCTTTGCATTTTCACTTACACATCTGTAATCCTAATCCTATAGGGGACTAAGCAGAAGTATACTGAGTTCCAGCCCACCCTAGGTATTTTAGAGAGAGCTTATCTCAAAATTCAAAAAAATTTAAAAAGTGCTGAGGATATATAAAGGTCCTGGGTTCAACTCTCACTGCTACAAAAAAAAAAAAGTAATAATGAAGAGATTAAGAAAGATCAGAAAGGGCTGGCCAAATAGCTCAGCAGATTAAAGCATCTCCAAGCAGGTGCAGGGGCTTGGGGCTCGATCCCCAGGCCTACAGGGGATCGCTGGTGGGGCGCGCTGAGAGGGCAATTGAGACTGGGCACGGTGGCGCACACCTGTAATCCCAGCCCATGGGAGGCTGTAAACAGGCGGATCACTACAAGTTCGATCTAGTAGTGAGACCCCGAACACCCTGTAGATCCTTCCCTAAAATAAAAATAAATAAATAAATAAAAAAGAAAGAAAGATCAGAAACATGGGCAACCTTTGGGACACACTGGTTGGAAGTGACCTCAGGAAACCTGACACCATGGAAATGCACATGTAAGAGAGGTAACGATGCCAGGTTTGCTTATCCACATATTCAGCAGGGCACAATACCTTATCTCATTATCTTCTTCATTAATCTGTATATTTTCACCAGCTCTTGTAAGACTTGGTTGTTTCTTCTGGAAAAGAACAATGGTGTACACTGTAAAATTATCAATGAATGATTGCTATGCTACAAAGTATGTGGCCCTCACCTTTTATCTTTCCTGTCAGTAACTCCGATAAGTTTTTTTCCAGTGTGTGAAATATTTTTGCAGTAAGATAAAAATTGAATGCGTTATCAACTCTACATTTATAGGACACTGGGGTTGAAAGAGTAAAAAAGAAACTGTCTTATTTAAACAATAATCAAATTCAGAAAGTATTTCTAAAAGCTGAGTCATGGTGATTTATCATGTTTTAAAAATTTTAGACAAGCTTCAATACGAAGAGAATAAAAGAGCAGAAGTTGGAAATAGCAGTAACACAAATGACATTTCTAGTTGACTTCTCTGCCATCATATGATTTTTCAGCATATCTTCTTCCTTTTTATGTTTAGCTTTGAAGCCTGTCTCATCCCTCAGGTGTGCACTCTGTGCCACACGGTTAGCTCCAAAGCCTGCTGAGGAATGGTAGGCAATTTTCTAAAATTTAAAAAGGAAAAAAACGTAGGCTATCTGTGAAAGGAAGACTCACTGTTTTCTCAACAGGATCCTTTCTGGGAATAACTATGCAAGGCTCATCAAGAAGGGAATAACAGAGATGGGTATTCCATTGCCATTTAAATATTGTAGGTACATGAATTCAGCAAAATGATCCAACATAGTTCCATTTTGTATCTGTATATACAAAATAGTTAGGATACATATCTACAGCTACTTTCTCTTAATTCAATGAGAAGAAAGATTTGTACTAATACAAATCACCTATCTGGACAGATCACGTCTGTCTCTTGTACTATGAATCACCACTACGAAGACAACAATATGTAATGTATTAATTATTGGAACTGTCCTACTAATCAGTTTTGAAACTGTCTCATTGCTATTTGTTTCTTAATAAAATTAATAAAATAAAAAAAAATGAAAGGGAGAACAACTGTCACGCCTACCTTCCAGTATAGCGCTCCGAAAGCAAAGCCAATCACAAGAGAGAAGAACGCCGGCAAGGCCATGGCTGCCCACTGCAGGCTGGAGTCTCCAGAGGAATCTGCAAATTTGCCTGGAAGATAAAGAGCACACACTGAGCACAGCAGGTCCTTCCCCCAGGGTCTGCCTCTGTGCCACTGTTGTCCCCACAGGTTTCCATAATAAACTCTTGACCTTTCTCTGTTTAAAGTAGTGGGAAGACCACTTTTTCTGCTGAGTGTTGCTTTTGCAAAGCCATATAAATCCACATAATTTCCGAAAGATGAATGTGTTTCACAAAGGAAAGAAATCCCACGGACAGGAAGAGCTCTGGCTTCCTAATGTTCATGCACATACAACCTAGACCTGCCATACATCGGGCACAGGGGATGATTTCTTGTATCAAGCAAATCTACCTTCTGTGTCTTTTTTCTTCTTAAGGACTTCACTTTCTTGCATTTCACATCTTGCCCCAGAACACTCAGGATCATATATTATAAGCTGCATCAGGCTCTGTACACGTTCAACTATAAGTGACCAGCTACAAACATGAAGTCATTCCCTGCACACTACAGTTACAGCACATGTAGGTACTGCGTGCTGAGAGTAATGGCTCTCCACTCATTTTCGTCTTCGACACACATGTTCTGAATGCCAGGCAGTGCCAAGTAGAGTGCTATGGACCATGCATTGGATTTCTTACTTTTGACACTGAAAAGCTTGAAGCTAACACCAAAGCTGACTGCAAGCACCACTATTACACACACAGAATAAGTAACTTTGTGACAAAGAAGACAGATGAGGTTGGCCTCGGACCCCTTCCTCCATCCTGCCTGCCTCTTGCATGGGAGAAGAAGAAGACTATGTGACTTATAACACCTTTCCTGTAAGAATCTCTTCCTCCAAATAGGAAACTGATTTTGACAGATTTCTCTGTGTGTCGCCTTACAAAAAGGAACCTGTTTGTTTGGAGACATTGACATGTATTCACAAGAGTTAAATTTGCAGTGTTTTTTCTCTATGTGAAGATATGATGCATTTGAAAGTTATAGATTGCCAACAACTAACAGTATACGGTTTTTAAAATGTAAACTAATTCAGAGTAGAATGAGCGTTTTTGGGTAACCTTGCAATAGTATATGGTTTATTAGGTTAGCCTACTTTTATCTGACTAATATCCAGCACACGATAGGTAGGAAATATTAAAGAACAGATCTCCTGTGTACACTAATATTTATAGGGGAATAATACACTTACAGATGTAATCAAAGAGATAAGAAATGGATTTTGTCTACTATAGTGAGAATAGGACTGCAGAAGGGCCATTTCCTAATTCTACTGATTTCTGTATTGCCCAGGTGACTCTAATGCTAAGGTATCTTCATGTGTGCTCATTTGCATGTAGGTAGGACAGGAAGGGAATGGCAGGAAAGGGGATCTGGAGTGAAGTGCAGGGGATGCTAGGGGTTGTGGGAAGTGCGTCATGGACTTCCCTGATCAGGAACTGCTTCAGTTCTGGTCCCGCCCATCATGTCACCTCAGGACAGATGTTCTAGGCATCTCGAACTGGAGTTCAACATCAATTTTCTTACCAAAATAAACTTGACTTGTACAGTTAGATTTGGTATAATTGATACAGTATTATTATTATAATATTACAGCGATTTTAAGGGTTATGTAAGATTATGAGGCAGAGTCTAGGGTTTTCTACCATTTTTTTAAAAATTAAATAAGAAAAAAGAATTGGAAGTTCTAAACCATTGCATATTTAAAAATTTAATGTAATTATCTATAAATAAATAATTTGGCTATTTGGACTTGCTTTTTTTTTTCTCTTTCTTTTATTTGTCTTTGGAGTCAGGGTCTCAGGCTGGTCTTGAAATCACTGTGCAAGCCCAAGCTGGCCTAAAGGTCAGCACAATCCCCCTGGCTCAGCCTCCTGAGTGCTGGAATTACAGATGTGTGCCACTATGCCCAGCCCCTGTATTCAGGATGACAACCTACTGTGCCCACTCTGTCTACTAGGGTTGCTGATTTTCACCATTTTGATGATGTCTTTAGGATTATGGGGCACTTCACATCCTGGAATCTAAGATGCAGCATAATCCTCCATGAAGAGAGAGCAAGGGAAAAGGATGTTAAAGACAGGGAGGAAGGAGCTGGCCAGACAGCTCAGAGGACTAAAGCAGGGACCAGGGTCGATTCCCGGCATGCTGTGCCAGCCCTACCCAGGGCATGCTGAGAAGATGATTGAGACTGGGCGTGGCAGCGCATGACTGTAATCCCAGTGCTTGGCAGGCTGAAAACAGGAAGATCACTGTGAGTCTGATCTGTGTAGTGAGACCCTGTAGATCCTGTACTAAAATACACTAAAAAAAAAAAAAAAAGACAGGGAAGAAAGGGCCTCCCAGCCACTGAATGTCACACCCAGCACAGGTCAAAGTTTCCTTATTTTATTATGACACTCGTTATACATTTGATTTAAAAAACAAGCCTTCCATTCTCAGGGATACTAGGTTCCTTTTGCAGAGAAAGAAAAATAACTTTATCACCAAAGGCTGCTTACATGTCCGGGGTAGAACTTGCCGTAATGTACTTGCCTCTGCAGCTATCAACTAGCAATCAATGAGATTTGAATTGTATGCCTCAAGGCCCATGCAAAGGCTTTTTGCAGCCAAGGCCCACGTTGTTAACAAAGCTTTACTTCTACGCACAGCTTGCTCTAGGGACCTCGTGAGGAAGGAGAATGTGGACACAGGACTCTGAGTAACTCCAAATTCCTGAGTCACTACTGTACTGTGGCTCATTCTTACTCAAACTGTCCACTATCGAAGCTTCTGGGAAATTGTCTTGCTCGGTTTGACTAATAATAACTGATATTGAAGAATAGAGCACAAAAAATGTGCCCCAGTCTTGCTGAAGTTCTTAGAGCATACCTGCTTAGGAATTCCATACCAGTGAGAGTGGATCTCTTGGCACTAAAGAAACCGGCAAACGAGAGTGCTTCTGCTTGACTCAGGTCTAAAGCTTAGTAGGACTTGCCACAACTCAGCTTGCAACTGCTAACTGTTCTCATACCTGAGGGCCAGCCAGATAGCTCAGCAGATTAAAGCTCTTGCTTAGACAGACACAGGGGCCAGGGGTTTGATCCCTGGCCTGCTGTGTGGCCCCACCACTGGGACATGCTGAGAAGGTACTGAGACTGGGGTGGTGCCTCGCGCCTGTAATCCCAGTGCTTGGGAGGCTGAAAACAGGAGAATCACTATGTGTCCAATCTGTGTAGTGAGACCCTGTAGGCTCTATACTAAATACATAAAAAAACCCAACCCTCTACCTAGACATCAGGCACATCTCCAAGCCCATGTGCACTAACACACTCACAACTCACAGAGCGTGCAGTAAGCTTAGAACTATAGCTGGGCTATGAGATCAGGCAACCCAATTTGACTATATTTCCAGGAGAGGAATAGGGTAATACCAAAATAAAGATTTCTTTCTGTATCATTTGAGTGTTACCTATAAGAATCTCCAACATCTTTTAATCAACACCGTTCTTGGCACAAGAGATGCTAGTCTCACTTTGAAGTGTAATTCTTTTGGGGTAAATAGCAGGTTCATGTTGCCCTTTGCTATTCATGGGATTCACTTGCCCTGGTCTTCTGACTGGAGCTGCTAGATTTTTAGGTCTGATCTTTGAGAATGTGCATGCTTTCTTCAAATGTTCTCACTCTTTTCCCATTAAAAAGTCTTATATCCTTTATGCTACAAGTAAAAATATGTATAATATCTATTATTTTACTTATATATCATACTACAGATATTTAGCGAAAAAAGAAAGCTGTCTTTTCATCTTGCAATTTAAAAAGTACCCCCAGAATCAGAGACTTAGGATTAAGTAGAATGTTTTGTTAATTTTCTTAAGTTCAGTTTCTTTTAAAGTTAGCAAGAGAAACTTTTGCCATATTCCTGCCATGATGGTGGTAAAGTAGCTTTCCAATCTAAATAATTATATTTTGGGGCAAATTGTATAAATCAGGATATGAAATTATCTCACAAGCAATACAAAAGAGTAATGTCTCAGAAGAAAAAACCATACCAACTGAGACCCACAGCTGTCCTGGACTGTTGGCTTTTGGCCATGCTGGCTGAGAGGTACCTTCTCAGTATGGAGACTGAGAACCCAGAAAGAGTCAATAGTTTCACCTATGGTGCCAGGGAGATAGCTCAGTAGAATAAGTGCTTGCCTGGCAAGCACAGGGTTCTGAGTTCAATCCCTGATACTGCAAAAAAAAAAAAAAAAAAAAAAAGTCTCACTGAGACATGGAGTCAGAAATTGAAGTTCAAGAATATTGGTAGTTAGGACTACAAAGCTAGGATATTTACAAAAAGAACATTGTATAAAGATACATAATTCTCCAAGAAAGTTTCCTTCAGTTATTGGTCAGATAAATGGGACATACATGGTACACGGAGAGAGAGAGAGAAAGAGAGACAGAGACAGAGACAGAGACAGAGACAGACAGAGACAGAAGGAGGCAAGACCACAACATATAGGAATCTATCTTTAACAGAGACCCCAGAAGTCACAGTAATGGGACACAAAGTAGCTATAGCAAGTGAGATTGCTAAGATTTTCTTAGCACTCCAGAGGTATCTCAAAAACTCTATGGCCCAAGAGTTAAAGACATATTACAGCGATACACACATGACTGTGTTTACAGCAGCACAATTTACAAGAACTAAATATAAAAGAAGCCCCTATGTCCCATCAACAGATGGATGGATAAAGAAAAGGCAGTGTTTACACACAGGGAAGCACTGCTCTGCCATGAAGAAAGATGCAGCTGAACGCTTGGGAGGAAAATGGGCGCACCTGAGACCGAGTGAGACAAACCAGACACACAAGCTTAAATCGCTTGTGGCTTTTCTTGCATGGGAAAGCCAATGTATAAACAAGGAACAAAACAAAAGATAAATGATAGGAAATAGGGAGACAGACCTCAAATGGGAAGCGATCACAAAACAGAGGGAAGAGGGTGAGAGAGGAAAGGAAAGTGATGAGAATAATTTAGGTGTGTTATGTACCTGTACCAACTCTGCAGAAGGAATGCAAGCATTATGCCCTGCAAACAGGTACTAATAAACATAAAAGTTAAAAGAATAAAAAGTCAACAGAAGAAAAAAGAGTAAGGTAGCCCTCTCTCTCTGTCCCCAAGAAAACTTAGAAATAAACCTGGCAAGGAAGAGAAAGCTCATGTACTAGTGAGTACATTTTCTTTCAGAAAAAGAATCAACAGGTTCTAAAGAAATGTTACAAAATCTGGTAGGTGCTCAACAGCACAGTACCTATGATATATAGAGTATATTAAAAATTATCATTCACAAGAATATGTGCATCATAATCAGAGAGAGGAAAAGGCAATAAAACTAATCCCTAATGTGGCCTATAAATTGAAATTAGGTGACAAGGATTTCAGAATACCTATCTTAATTATTTTAAGGGACATAAAGAAAATACTGTAATAAATATGCAGATGAAACGCCTTGGAGAGAAAAGAAAAATAATCAAATGAATACTGTAAATGGAAAATATAAATCTAGAAATGAAAAAAAAGTCACACAATGGAAAAGTCAGATTAGAGCTAGCAGAAAGAAAGGTCAGAAAAATGGAAAACAGACAAGAAGAAATTACCCATTCAGAACAACAGAGAGAGAAGAGGTTGAAAGTACAAAAAAAAGACCTTCTAGGGGGGAACTACCCACACGGCTCACCGCTCCTGTCCCTCTCTTGGGAAAGGAGCTTTCTTTCTCTCAATAAATATTCTGCTCATAAAAAAAAAA